ACGTTGGAAAGCATCGGAATGATTCAGAATCACTGCGGAGTTGATACTCGGGAAGATAAGACGGGCACTTGGGAGAAACGGACCGTGGCATTTGAGACAGGGGCACAACCGGGGGACAAACGTGCTACAATCGCATACCCTTCCAAGGTCATCGCTTGGGCGACCGCGCGCGCGCCCAAGAAACCTTTCTTTTCTTCTTTTTAGGGGTGGTGGGGGGGGGGGGGGGGGGGGGGGGGGGGAGTGGAGGGGAGTGGTGTAGGCGCTGATTGTCTTCCTCCTTTGTGGCTTTTGACAGACGCACAACGAGACTGGCAGAACAAGCGCATGATTCATTTCTTTCGATGGAGGCGTTCTGTCTGTTTATGCGAACATGATTTTTTTCCCCTTTTAGTAGTTAGTTGTTCTTGCCTTGACTCGGGTCCCAGTGGGTGCGTTGTCGTTGTATGCCCACTATTTTTTTTTTTTAGTTTATGGTAGTTTTTGCGCTGATGGGGTATCAAGGTAGACAAAAAGTAAAAAAAATGAAATAGCGCCTCGACAAAAAAAAAGAAAAAGTTTGCGATCAGGAACGTTTTCAAAGCCATTTTAGGAGCCTGCGGTGTTACCACAGGTGCAGGATTGAGAGCGTAACCCACGCACTTGAAGAGAAGGGGAAGCTCTCGTCTTATTGGAACTCTCTTTTATGGGTTTCCACGTCGCGATTGTCCTTCAAAATCAACTGTCATTTATTTCTCGCTCGTGGCTTTCAAGTACTGGAAGCCACGACTCGAGCCACAATAGTTTTGCGAAATCAAGGTTTCGCTGAAATGGATAACTCTCACGTACAGTTCGACGCGCAATACCTTTGCCGTATTGACTCGCGAGAGATGCCCCCAACACGGCTGAGTATGGCGGTGCTCCTGACCTAACATCTAAATTTTGTTGCCTTACCTGTTACTATTTCGCGCCCATTTTGAGCCATATCAAAATGAAAGCGCATGATGAAATAAAAGTCACACTCGTTTTCCGCTCGATGGAAGTTTCACGCCAGCTCGCTGTCTTTGCTGGTACCTTGAGCGTTTCCCAGCAATGCGGAGAGTTAAAAAAACAAAAAAAGAAAAAAAAAACGTACGATGGCATCCTTTGCGGGATGAGGACGATTCGTCACATGCGCATTCGTCACAGGACGATTGGTCACAGGATGATTCGTCACATAGGAACATTTGTCACAGGATGACTCGTCATGCGGGCAACTGGTCTCATTGATCGAGCAGGGGACGATAGTAAATTGTAAATTTCAACATCTGCCTACATACCCTGATGAGGAGTTTCAGAATTTTCCACTGTCACGTAAACCAATGGTTATATAAACTAATATTACAATACTCATCCGCTTTTCCTTTCATTATATTACGGGTCTTCAGCAGGTTGATCTCAGTTGCAGGCTTGAACGAGCAATAATCCGACTGGCAGCCAAATTAGTTTTTAGTTTTGCCTTGCATACACCTATTCGACAAAACCAACAAGTATCGGAATTCCTTCTGCCGAATGTGTACGAGTACCCCTCGTGCAGCATCATGGCTCTCTCTGTTGCGATCACCTCCAACCTTTTGAATGTAGATCAAAAATAGTCGCTCTTCTATGGCCTCCGCATTCACCGTTCAGGACGGACCCAGATAGCTAGAACGTCTGTTACAAATTCTTTGACCTCGAGAAGCGAAAGACATGCTAAGATAAGAGGTGACCGACTTTCTGAGGCCCAACCAACATTCAATGTTCGGGACCGAATCAGAAGCTAAAACGTTCCTTACAAATTCTTCGCCTTTGTCCGCCCGAACCAAATTGAACAATACATTTTTGGGGGGACGAACTATTGTGAGACCGGTTGGCCGCGTGACGAGTCATCCTATGACGAATGTTCCTGTGTGACGAATCGTCCTGTGACCAATCGTCCTGTGACGAGTGTGCATGTGACGAATGGACCGTATCCCATCCTTTGCACACTCATTACTTCTATAACACTGAGCCACCTCGTATCCTTTTGTTTTTCTTTCATGGTACTAATTTCTTTCTGCGCATTACGGCTGTTACGACGCTAAGTCTGTCTGCCCTTCGAATTTAAACTTAGGCTCAGATCAGGGACGAACCAGTTTAAATCAGGAAAATATAATTAACACTGTAGCAAAGTAAATCTATCATATCGATCGGAAATACGATTTGGCACATTCCATCTGAACACATATTGTGCACAGCGAATGCAATAGCGAGTCAGCGTGCAAAACGCCGCCACACTGAGCTACCATAACATCTCAGCGATTTTTGCATAGCACCGAGCACGGAAAAGAGAAAACAGTTATTCAATCACATAGACGAAGCAAATTTATTTAAAGCCCGGACACTCCGTACGTCCAATCTAGCTAAGGTTATCAATAGACTCGACCATGTCATTTGTCGAAACAGATAAAAGACGTTGGCAAAAATGATTAGACTGAATAAGTCAATCTAACGCACGTATTTTACCAACCGACGGTCGCGCGCCTTCAATGCCCTTTCCAATTGTCATTGCGCACCTTGGACACACTTTGGGAAGCAATGCATATTTACATCGCCGCCCGAGGTCTCCATTAAACGTGTAGTGCTGACCCAAATAAAATGCTAACCTGACACTCAATCGCTCACCGCAAAGGACGATTTCGAACAGGCGGTACTGTAGGTCACTTGAGATAAAAAAAAAAAAAGAAGAACAAGCTATAGAAACGAGCGTCGTAAAAAAGGGGACCGGCATTTTTATTCCTACCTCCGAACAGAAACGAGCGCCACCCACTGCATCACACAGCGCAGAGGCCGGACTCGGTCACCGCGCGTACATACCAAGCGCGCGCGAGGGATGCAGAAACTTCCTCCGCCGGGAGAACACGGCAGATTTCGGGATCTATTTCACGCAGCGGATAATGCGGGCCTTTTCACACCTCGATACTGGCGCCATCTAGAAGTTGCGCGTTCAACCACGTTTCGAGCCGCGCGCCATCTGGTGGCTGAAACGGACGAATAAATAGAGGTACCGCGCCCTCTTAAGCTGACAGTGCAGCCGAAAATTACGAGCGTGAGCAAGCTCGCGCACCTTGCCCCGAGACGTGTCTTTTTATCGTGAGAGCTCGTTCTGTGGAAGAATGATTCAAAGCCGAATTCTTGTGCTCTCGGGCTTGTATACCCTGGCTGCAGTCTTAGCCTAAGGTGGAGGCCACTAGAAAAGATAGTCTGCATGCCGACACTCTCTGCTGCGAGTTCATTTCTTGTATGATGGTCCTGTCGAATTAAGCCGCGATCGTTCTGTTACTACTTCATACGAGGGTCGTCCTATGTATTTACCTACGTTTAATTTGTTTTCATGCAGACAGTGAGGAATCAGAAATCGGTACACACGTCCATCTTTTACACAGACTCTCCCTGAAGCCAAATGTCTTATATATATCTTAATATAAAATGGTACGCCCCTTGTACAAAATACCGTAATGCAGGCACTGTCTCAAAGGTGTGTTTATTCCTTGTATGACAGCACCTGTCACAAAAGCCATGGTCACACTGCTGATACTTCATAAAAAAGAATCTGTAGACACAGTCCTGTCTGTTCCTTCCTTGCAAATGGCGGCCCTTTCACACTGGCCAAACAAAAACTGTCGGATGACGCGTTCCAAGTACGACTAAAGCAAACATGCTTCAGACATGCTTGAGGCGATACCGCTGATAATGATGCCGTCCTATCTGCCACGTTTACCGCGTCTTAGGTGTGACCAATGGGAGAGCAGTGCGACTGCGGCTTTAGAAGTGAGTATAGAAGCCAAGGCCTGCTCATGACTTCATCGCTAGTAGATCCCAGACACGCACCCAAGCGACAAAAAAACTAAAGCGCTACAAGACAGACGCGTCCGTCCTGGCGTCTCCGCGTGCTCAGGCCCTGCTTCTTGCGAGATTCTACAAGACCAGTTGACGGCGATGCTGACGCTGACATATCACTAGTGCATACCCACTAGTGATGACGACTGAAGGAGAAAAATTAAGGCACCAGCGTTGTCTTCTTCTAGGTTGCCTGGATGTCTGCAAGAATCTTTGGTCGGGGCGGGGCCGATTATACTGCGTGGGTGAAGGTGAAGAGTAAAGTGGAAGCTCCTCCCACCTGTTGCCACTTTAGCAGAGCAAACGTTGCAGTAGCGGCGACCTCCTCCCCAGCATTCCCTCTGCTAATGAGGAAAGAGGTGAGAGGAGCTTCCACTTTACCCTTAATATGTCGCCGACTATAGTTCTCCTAAGTTAGGGGGAAAAGGCTTGATCTTTTGGTCACGAATTCAGCCGCAATTAGTTACTTGTTTGTGACGACTGGGGGCCTGATTCTGGGCCACTGAGGTTGAGAAGATTGAAAGCACGCAAGTACGCGGTTCACGTAAAAAGTAACAAAAACTGAACGTCGGTTCTGACTGCTGTTTTGAAATAGCGCCGCAATGAAGCGTGAAAGCAATGCTCCAGCTTAGCGTAACACGGATAACCTGAATACTATAGACGTTAGCCACTCCGTTTAGGTGGCTAACGTATAACCCACACCACATATATTGTGCTGGTTTTGTTAGTGTATTACGCCGCTGTTAACTTTTTCGAAACCAGGAGTCATACTACTCATATATCGTACAAAAGACTTTCTGCAAACACGAGGCACAGCAATATACGTGGTTCTAATACCGTGTTACAAGTTATCTTCGTGAACTCATTGCCATGCGGCATTCGAGGCACGAATCTCTGCGCTGAGTCACGTTTGAATCTGTACGCGGACTGTCGTTTGTATGGTGTATAAGCTGTGTGACCACGACTTGAAGGCCCAAAACAGTCGATACAAAAAGACACACGCTGTTGAGCGTGAATGTTCCTCTACAAAAGTGATAAAAAAAGGTTTAGTCCCAGTAACCAAACTGTTCGATGCCATCACAAAGTCGACAGGGATATATTTTAATCCCATAAATGTTCGTTTTCAGGAGTTACAGTTCGCAGGCGCTGGAAAGCACGGAATCATCCCAACAACTGAGAGCTGCATACAAAGACAACTTTCTGGCTCGGGCGTATGTAGACACGTATGGTTTTAGAACAGGAGAAGCGTCTACTTTCCAACTGGAAGAACTTCACCGCATTTTTCGATCAGGTAAGTTCCTGTTCGTTTCTGAGACAATCCGTGGAAAAATAGGTTTCTAAGGATATATCCCAATGCTAACTAATTTGCGTTTTATGATCGGGAACATTACGTTTTTTCGCCAAGAAAACCAAGAATTCGTCATTTTTGGAATCTGGTCTTAGGGATTCAATGCAAAACAATTCGTAGAGCCGTGGAGTAAACACTATACGCGCCCAAGCGTTTAATTACTGCTTATTGCCATTTTACGACTGTCATCTAAATATTCTCGGGGAACATTGCGACCTTTTTGTCGTTCAGTTGAAATACTCATTTTAGTGCATGCACCGAGGCCTTGCTGTTCAAGAAAGTTTCGAATGAATATTAATTAATGGATAATCTAGAGTTGTATTCTTCCTCCCAACAATTACTGATGGCAGAATTCACGGCTTTTAATCGCTATTTCTGTGTGTTAAAGGGACACTAGAGAGGATTCTGCGATCGTCTGTTATTGGTTTAGGGGTGTGCGAATATCGAATAGTAGTTTTCGAATCGAATACCGAATCGAATCAAGAAAAAAAAAAGCCGAATATCGAATCGAATATCGAATAGTGATTTTATTTGTAGGAATTTTTCAAAGTGTGCTGCGAATGAGATTATTGTATGTGCAGAGTATGCGCCTGGTGCAGAATATGCATCTTGTGGTGAACAAAAGCTAAAATGTAAAAAAAAAAGTTAAAAAAAGCAGTTGCTGTGGGACGTTGTGCACTAAAAATCCAATTTTATGGCGCAAACATAATCTATCTACCCTAAACGTCACAAAAAAAAAAAAAGTTACAGCCATGCGTGCCTTTTTTTTTTTTTTTCTCGTTAAAAGCACAACTTAACACCGCGACTTCTTTTTTTCTTAAATATTTGTATATCTTAGAAAAGGGGTATTTTGCGATATTTGGTATCCATTTTAAGGGAAAAAAGGCACCCGAGATTTTATTTCACGTAAATAAACAGATAGGTGTTAAATCTGAGTAAACAGGATTAAACAATATAATCCGAAGTAGGAAAACCAAACGTAGTTAGGTGGCACAGGTCACCGTCCAACTGCCCCTATGGATCCATTTTTCCGTTTATCTATCCTGTTTTAGAAAGCCTAGATTTAAAAGAGGGAGCAAGGGAAACCGAAACCACGGAGACGGCGCTTGCGCAGATTGGTCGTAAGTGCGCACGTGTTGTATTGTCGCGTAGGAAGAAGGCGAGCGCGAGCAAACGGAAGAGCCTCGACGCCAGCCCGATCGACACTTTTGTCTTTTCGGCACGATTTCGCAGTTCGTACTTCAAACGCGGCTATCGAACGATTGGAAACCCTCTCAAATCGAGGCACACTATTTTTCCGTTCCGTTTCGTTCCGAATCGGAATTTGCGGCTTGCGGTTCCAAAAGAACGACGGTGAGAACTCGGCTGGTTTCATCGGCGTGGTTATCGTGGTTTTCTTTCTGTGATCGTGCAGTTGGTGCAGTCGCCGATTTCTGTGAGTGCGGCCGAGTGTGTTTTACATCGGCGCTTCAATTTGAAACGAGGGGCTTTATTCGTGAAAAGAATTAGGCATGGCGCGGAATTCCGGCTTCCCAACAATTCCTCTCTGGAAGCGGCGCAAACGGGATGTTTCGGTTGTGATTCAAGGGTAAAGTGTGTCACGATCGTGAGTAAATCTGCGTGCTATAAAGTTCGTGGCGTTCGTTACTTTTCTTTAACCTGTGCGTTAGGTGTTTGTGGAATAGTAGGACCAGGAGGTGTTTCTCGCATGGCCTGTCTATCATCACGGCGCTTATATCGGGAGAAAAAACGGTCTTTTTGTCAACTCCACGCCGACCGCGCCGCGCCTGTTTGGCCGAATATATCGAATATTTGAGTGACCGAATACTAGGAATTCGATTCGCGAATCGAATTATTCGGGAACTTTCTAATCGATTCGAATTCGAGTATTCGCACACCCCTAGTTATAAGTTATAGCTGATTATACGGGCCCTAAGCATCCTAGATTACAATCACGGACCACCGATTTTCCTATTAAAACGTGATGAAAGGCCGGGACAACCCCCTTTCTGACCGGAGTTTTCCCCTCTGGAAAGGCGGGGCGTTCTCCAGCAGAGGTATCAGCGCGTTGACCATGGGCGCTTTGTCGGCAAATCGCAAACTACCTCTTCGAGAGAGCCGAACACCGAACGGTCTCGACCTGTGGCGATGTGACTTTTTTTTTTTTTTTTTTTAGATTTTGGAGTTGGTGTTGACGGTACGGTCAGCCTCTGGGGTGGTGCGGTCGGACCCTGCCTATATCGGCTGTCCGCCGAAGTGTTCCTAGCTTGATCTTTGTCAGGTCAAGAAGTTACATCGATTTACGGAGGCGTAGAGCGAAGCTACGATCCTACTTCGCACCGTGCCACGGAGTCCCAACGTGGTCCGCAGAGTCCGACCTTACCGACCGCACCGACTCGAAAATCTCAAAAATCACTCTGTCGCAGGTCGGGACCGCTCGGCGTTCGGCTCTTTCGGAAGGGCGGCTTGCTATTGGCCAACGAGCGCCCATCGTCACTGCGCTGACACCACTGCTGAAGTGTGTACCGAATTCCCATTACGTTTTTAATAAAGAAATCGGCGTAGCGGGATTGTATTTTTTTTTTTAATTCTTAGGATGCTTTGGGCTTGTAGAATCAGTTCTGCCCAAGATCAGATGATAGCAGAATCCTTCTTAGTGCCCCTTTAAATGTTGTCTTCACAAATTATCGACACCGATTCTGTCGGCGCCGAACTCCTTATCGGCTCTGGCATTTTACCTGGGAAGTCAGCGAACGCATGAATTCGGGCCATGTGATTCGCCGATTCGCTAATGACCGAGTCCCACTAGGGACGAACAGAAGAAAAAAAATGATAAAACTTCAACCTGGGTCATACGGCTCATGCATCACACGAAAAAGTAGTAAGTAAGAACGAGTCACCGAAGTATCTGTGGTTCGAATGCCGCGTTCCAAGTTTTCCCCTTGATCTCATTGCCCTGAGGTACTCGGAGCACATACCTCGCCGTGACTCGCGTTCGAATCTGTGTGCAGACTGTCTTTGGTATGATGTATAAGCATGCAGTATGATCCCGGCTTCGCGCTACCCTTAAAATCAAACACTGCGACTGCTGAGGTCTGACTTCGGAGCAGCTAAGGTGTCATTTCGGAGCAGATGGACTGAATGAGCGCTAAAGGGGCGAGAACGCACCACAAAGTCCGCATAGGCGCTTCGTACTGAACCGAGTAACGTACACCGGACGAAATTTTTTTAGCGTTTTGGAACGAATGTGGGTGTATTTAGCAAAGAGCACTTCGTGAACCCGTTAAACAGTTTTATTGAACGCAAGCTAGGATTACCAAGAACACTTCAAAAGTAGCGCGCCCAAGTTCGAAATCAAGGGAACGACGTAGCTGCATTCTATGCATGAACTGTTCCCTGTCGTTGGTGTGGTTGTTTGATCGTCTTATGCGATGTTATTCCACACAAATTAAAACCGCCTTGTGGTCAATAAAGAACACTTCCGAAATCCCGCAATCAAGTTTCAAGCTTGTAGATCCACCTAATTTTACGCCCGAGGTTTTGCAGGCTTAAAGGCCGGTTCAGACACTTGGGTTTGAGTGCGTTTGACTGCGTTGCGTCGAGAACCGAAAGCGAGTCACCGGCACATCTGTGCTTCGTATGAAGCGTTGACTCCAGTTCAAGAAATCATCTTGGCACGCTTTACAAGCAACAGGGATATCTTGGTTTCTCACTGCCGCAACGCAGTTAAACGCAGTCAGACGTAACTGTCTGAACCAGGCTTAACACCGACCTAGCTTTACTCATTTTATTGCCCGTAACCCTTTCTGGCATAATTAGCGAAAACGATTTGATTTTGTTATCGGTTATCGGTTATCGGTTATCGGGCGATAAAACCAATAATGCTAGGTGGGTGTTAAGCCGGCGAAACCACGGGGGTGAAATTAGGTGGAGCTACACGCTTGAAACTTTAGAGCACGCGATTTTGGAATTGCTCTTCGATGACCACATATCGGTGTTAGGTTGTTTCTAATAACATTGCATAAGACGTTCAGGCAGCCACACGAACGACAGGGTACGATTCACGCATACACATGCAGTTACGTTGTTCCCTGGATCTCAAACTTTTCAAGATTTCAACCTCAAGGCAATTCTAGTTTGTGTCCATAAAATTGTTTAACCATTTCACGAAGTGCTCTCTACATAATACACCCACACTGGTTTCAAACCGCTATGGAATTTGGATCGGGTGTGGTACTCGGTTTACGACGAAATGCCTGTCCAGACTCCGTGGTGCGCGCTCGCGCCGTTACCCTTCATTCAGTCCCACAGCTCCGACGTCACCACTCAGCTGTGGCGGTGCTGCACTTTACTGGTTGCGTAATTGCTTACCATTTTTTTTTTTTTTTTGCAAGGCGATTTCCGATCGTTCGATTCACGTCATCTAACTTTAGTATTAAACATATTTCCTTCTTCGCATGCAGTTCCTTGGAACTATAATTCATTTCATTTCAAGTTCCACCACAGTCAACACCTCGACTCGATGACGCCAATAGAGCGGCTCAAAAAGTCCATCGTCCCGACGCTCGCTGTCTTCGTACGTCTGGCATAACCGACTAATCAAGCACATAAAAAAAAAAGAGAATGACCTTGGGGTGTTCACTGTTCGTGATTCGTTCAGCTGGATAAATTGAACGCACAAAAACGACGACCACCATGATGATGCACTTCAGGAGCTACTTCATTGGCTCTACCGAATAGTGACGTCAGGGATCCCAGTCTTTCAACAGATTCTGCGTTAAAACGTCTCGTGCAGCTTTTTGTATCGGGCGGGCGAGTTGTTCAGTACCTCGCCTTGGCAATTCTCTCTCTCTCTCTCTCTTTCTATATATATATGACTCACGATTGGGGAGTACGAAATACGGCATGTTAGTGAACTGGGACAGTTTTAAATATGCAATTGGCAGAGAAACGATAACTCGGGAATTGCTCGCCACGAGGCCGGGCTGATCAGAAACTCTGCTCTGCTTTCCGTAGGACTGACTCAGGGCGGGACACTGGTGGAAGTGGGCAGCGGTCCTTTGGTCTGGTGTTCGCTCGTAGCCTCCAGTCGATTCGAACGCATCGTGCTCAGCGACTTGGTCGAAGGAAATAGGCTCGAAATCGAAAAGTGGCTCAACAAGGATCAAGGTGCCGTCGACTGGACCATCCGAGCCGAGCAAGTTGCTGCCTTGGAGGGCTATAGGTACGCTAATGCAATGCGTTAAGGGGTTCATAATACGATATCGGGTTCGAATTCCAGTAACTGAATACCGCGCGTCTTTGAAACAGAGAGCGAGAGGCCAGGAGCGTGATTTTAACGTGAGACGTACCTTGACTAGGTGGTCGGAAGTTCGCGAAGCCCAAATAAAAGCGTGGCCTCGAGGCTGGACATTGATGGGCCGACGGGTGGGAGAGGAGGAGTAAGGTTCTCGACGCTGATTGGTCAATGGGGAACTCATGTGACCAGAGGGGTAGGCGAGGAGGAGCCCGACCACCTGTGTGCGCTGAGGAAGGAAAGCTCCAGAGCAGGGATGGGCAGTATTTCAAATACAAGTATTTGAAATACGTATTTCAAATACTTCGTGTATTTTGCATTTGTATTTAATTACATATTAGGTAATGTATTTGACGTGTGTATTCAAATACTAAAACGTGGGTATTTCAAATACAATTGTAATTAAATACAATTTTGTGGGCGAAAATACATCCCTCAAATTTACTGCCACTGTCCAGAGCAGGAAGAAAACTATGTTCTGCACCGAATGCAGTGTCTCTCAATCAAGCGCAAGCGTTTAGGGGCTTTGTGATTACGGCGCTATTCCAGGGCAAGAATAGTGACGAAATCAACGCTCACTGGCAGACTGGCTAAATAAGTGCCTGTGATAACTTGTGATGCTTTCCAGCCTGATTTCCATCCATATTTTTGCCTGGAACATTCTAAATACGCGGGTCGTCCAGATTTTCGTAACTGGTGCGAGTTGCAACAATAAAAAAATATCTAGCTAGTGCTGCGCGTCTTGGACGTCTCAGTTCTTTGTTGGTCTATCTATACCAAAATCAATGTAATCGACAAAAAAAAAAAAAGCTGCTTGAAGCTCTGTACTTTTTTCACCTATTACGTCCAAGCTGATTACAGTTTTTTGTGATCATATTTCTATTACGTTACTAGAACCCCGCACACTAACTCCCGAGTGTGCGTTGCAAAAGTAAAATGAGATACCCAGAAACCCGTTGCAGGTGCCCTGAAGTCGCTGACGCAAATTTTGAGCAATGTATTTGGAAAAGTATTTGGAGGAGACCAAATACATTTGGTTGTATTTGTATCTTGTACTTAAATGCTTTTTTTGGAAATGTAATTAGATTTGTAATTAAATACATTTTTCATGAAGTATTTTGTATTTGTATTTAGATACATATTTGCATGTATTTTGCCCATCCCTGCGTCTGTTTAACTGTTTCAGGGCACGTCAGACGGCCCTCGTCAACATCGGGGGGGGGGGGCAAGCGCTTCTACATTGCAGCGCTTGCCCCCCCCCCCCCCCCCCCCCCCCTCAGTATAAACGGGTTGAAGTCGTTAACAATCGATCCATGATATTCATCAACGAACATTCGGGTTCACATTCGTGGTCCTTCAATGTGGCAACGTAGTTCACGGAGTGCTTACAACGATTAGACTGCAAAACAAATTCGGGCTACGGCCAACTCAGGCGCGCGGCTCTGATTAACTCTGGAGGCAGTAGCTGCCATAAGAAGGCCCCACCCAGAGTCGATTATACTGAGAGAGTTTGACATTCTTAGAGAGATTTTAACAGTCTGGCAACCACAGCATCGTAGTCTGACAACCGGGGGATGCCTACTTCCGTCCACCATTTTGAGGCTCTGATTCATAGGATCTCTATGCGGTTTCTCAGGAAAAATAGCAGAGAAAGAGGTAACCTCATTTTGCGTTATCACAATATCGCCTGGTTCTAGTGGGGAACAAGCTGCGCCCATTGGCAAAGCTCTTTCAGTATAAACGGCTTTGGCCCTACCGATATTTTCGGCAGCGAGTCAGGCTTCTTTTATCTCATGCAAATGTCTCATGCAAAGAGTAGCACAAGTAGAGGGGCTTGTCATATAACGAGCCGGAAATACAAGGTGTTCGATTTTAATTTTAGAAAAGTTTAAAAACAAAAATGGTTTTTATTCCGACCTAAGAAAAATTACACGCAAAGGGAGCGCCGGAAGCCCAGCCCATAATGACGCTTGGAAGAGTGACGTAGCTTTTTCTATCATGTCGTCACTATCTTGGCAGCGTGACCTTGGTGGGTGCGCCGACGACAGGAGTTACGACGTGACCTAAACGACTACGCCGCTCTTCGTAGGATCATCGTGGGAGGGCTTGCTGTGATCTTTTTGCGCGAAATTTTTTAATCGAGCTGAAACAACGTAAAAAGATTATCGATTAGTATCTTGGAAACTATTACATTTTCTACTTTTTTTCGATTGGTCTCGTTTCTAATAGTAATTCCCGCAAATACTGCAGTTGCAACATGACCCCTAAAACCAGCAGTTAAAACGTTAATGAACAGATTGTTGTGAATCAGCCAACTTACCATGACGGTTATGCCCTCATCTAGGAACATCGAGCCACAGCCCTTGTCTTCTAGATGGTATAGTCTAGTATAGCTATCGTCACCGTAGCAACGAAGCATTTGCTAAATGGATAGACACGCGAACGCAGACTCCGAAGTCAGAATAAGCAAGGCTCCCGAAGCAACGCGCGGACACCTTCGTTATCATTCTCCGTTCCGCAAGAGGAAAATAGATTATAATCCCAAACTCGAGGTATCGGCAATCCTCGTTGGCCGCAAAGGGTTCGCCAGGCAGCCAAATCACTCTACCGGTGGTGATCTTTGCGGTGTGGCGAGATCAGGTGCGGCTTCGCTTTTTACAGCGGAGCTGTTAAGGGCAAGTTTCCCCCAGGATTGTGTCCTCCGCAAAGAAATGAAGACACCGAAATCTGGACACCTATCGCAATTTATGAGCAACGGCGGCAAGCCACGTATCTGGTTGTCGCCGTCGCTCATAGATGGCGGCAGCCTTTCCCCTCTGGCTTGTCGACTTGCGGCCGGCCATTACTTTTCATTGTACAACTCCGCTGGCCTTGCTTATTCACCAGAGTGGGAAAACTGAAATTTTTCGTCAGAAGCGACTGTTTCGTTGTGCTTTTTATTAGGCGAAAAGTGAATGAAAAAAAAAAGGAAGTCAGAAATGAGGGCTTAACGATAATAGCTGATTTTCTCCAGCGCCTAATATATTGGAAAGACTTACATAGACAACCCGTTTCGAGCTCGGAATCTGAACATTTTTCTTGTTCGCGGGCACACAGGGCTAGATTACCGATGTGACAAAAAAGAAACCCAAGATTTCACACTGTTAATTCCTTTACAAGTATGTGCACTGAGAATCAGCCACCCTGTATATATATATTATTTTTTTACAGCAACATCAAGGAAGGTGCGTTAGAAATACAGGAACGTGCACGGTCCTCCATCCGCAAAGTGGTTCCCTGCGACGTCCTGGAACCCGGAGTGCTGCCCGAGGAACACAGAGAAACCTTCGACGTCGTTCTTTCCTGCAGCTGCCTGGAATCGGCCACGACGGACCACGAGTCATTCCGAAGAGCGGTTTGCAACGTGGGGACACTCGCCAAACCCGGCGGTCGGCTTGTTTTGGTGGGCGTGGGTGGTTCAAAAAGGTATCCTGTGGGAACCGCCGCCTTTGTTCAGGCCAACGTCACCGAAAATGTGGTGAAACAAGCCGTGGCAGATGCCGGCTTTCAGATGGAAGAATACCATACCAAGAGCCTTAAACTCCTTTTAGGATCGCCCGGAGCCTTCACCTTTGTCTTGATGGCCCGTAAACTTTGAGTCGGCTCTTGATATTGTACCTCACGTCGTACCAGACACTTTTCTTTGCCCGATCCTGCCCCCTAACTTCCGACGTACGAACCCGGAAAAAAAAAATAAAAGTGTGTTTCTGTCTTCTCCGTAGGTACAAGTAAAACTAGTCATTGTTTAGTCAGAGGAATATTAGTCAGTCTCTGGGTGACCGTGTTTCTCCGTTGTGGATGAAAAAATTCGCCAGTGCAGTATCACTAGGGCTCCGTGTTTTCGGAGTTTATTGTTCGTCAAAATCGGAGGGTGTTTTTCGGAGTTTACTTTTTACCGAAGATCCGGAGTTTATCGGAGTTTACATTTGTTTGATTGCCAATTCCCCGAAATTGGGAGTTTAATTTCACAGTGTTTCCTAATGAAAATAAATATGTAAATAATAACCGGATGTAAACGTATGCCAAATAAAAAAATAAAACGCGCTTGTATCGATTAAAATTTCTTCAGTTGAATTTGACGTTCGTGCCATTGCCATTGGCACTATTAATTTGTGCCACGACAAAAGCCGCACACAAGTGTGGCTTCGATAAACAAAGATACCTTAAAATCAATAAACTGCCGGAGGTACAAAGGACAGACACTGTAGGAATTCGCGTACCGCCGCCGATTCGCCGTTTCCCACGTGGTCCGTCAACAACCCGAGTCCAGCCTGGTTCTTTCACGGGAGCGGGATTCCGCTCCCAGTTTATTGGTACAAAAACACACAACGCTACAAAACACTCAATCTAAAATACAAATACAGGTTACATTATACAAATATTTACAACCGCGCGTTAAGCCCAACGCTAAACACAAAGAAGGCCTTAGGCCTCGCGTCCCGCGATATCCTAGATCCGGTCGCCACCCACTTGCCTGCCTGCGTCTCGGTCTCGTCCGGAGCTCTTAGAGGCCTCTCGCCCCCTGCCCCACCGAGTATATATCTCGATGGGCGAGGAGGTTTCTCCTCGCCTGCCACGGGGGCGCCTGCAGCGCCCTCCAATGGCTAGGAGAGAAAGCGGCGCGTCGGGAGCCGAATTCGAGATCCCGATCGACCCCGCGGCAACACGACCATGTGATCGTGTCGCGGCCAAGATTGGCCGAATGGTTTGATGGGCGCCCTCGTGAATTCACGGTGCGCCATACTCCCCTCTCCTAAAAATCGAAGCACGCCGGAATTCAGACGTACGGCTAGGCTGCTGACAACACCGTCGCTTGGTTTGGCCTGGAGACCCCCCCACACGCACACACACACCGCTGGTCCCCTGGGTCGTCCTCACTGAGGTCCATCAGTTCGCCCGAGACCTGGGGTGCGCGGCCACCGCACACCTCACAGTAGACTTTGTCGACTTCGGCTTGGCGGCAACCTCCGGGGCAACGGGGTCCTTCAGCAGTGTGCCTGGCCACCATGAGACTGCCCCCCCCCCCCCCCCCCCCCCCCAGGAAGTGGTGCACTGGAGAGGGACTGTGGTTGTGACCCAGCTGCGACAGCCCTCCCGGAGCGATGTGGGGCTGGAAGTCCAATGTCACTGAGAACTGCACCCCGGCGTCCTGTGTGGCGTCGCGGACGTCCAACGAGGCTCCCCGAGCTGTGGTTCCGGCCGGGGAATACGCTGCCCGAAGACGAGGAGTTCAGCCCAGGCTGGTGTTTGTCCAAACGGCGACTCCTCCTTTCATCCTCTCCCAGAGAGGACCATTTGGTGCACACCACGTTGCGTCTCGAAGCAGCAGCCGCAGGGCCGATGACGCACAAGCTGGGAAAAGTCCAAGGCGCGCGCCCAGCGAGGGAGCAGTACCCCAACACCAACAGCAACGCCGCACAAACAAAAAAAAAAAGAAAAACATTCCACAGCAAAAACAAGAAACAAAAACTAACACTGAGGGTTCCGAGACACCCCTCCCCCACCCACAAAGAAAAACAAAAACACAATGCCGGGAACGCCGATTTCGGATCGTTCCCCCCTCTTCTTCCCTTTCCCGGGCCACGCACTCTACGAGGTTCCGATCCCATCGGGTTGCCTCCGGCTACGCGTGTTGTAGCTGTGCCGCGGTGGTCCCAGGAACTCCTGAGGTCGTTGGTGCCCGCGAATGCCCCTTTGCGGCCGCTTGACCGGCTCATCCCCTTCTCTGGGGAAAAAGGGTTTCAGTTCGCCGATGTGAACTGTCCCGCGGACGAGATCAGAATTCTGGTCCCTCAGCGTGTATGTCAGTCGAGACTTCTTGGAATCGATGACAAAGGGGCCAACCCACTTGGGGGCCAACGCCGCCGAGAAGAACTTACTCGCATCACTCTGCACGTGACTTCGCCGCAGAACGGTGTCGCCCACCTCGAACTGCGCATCGCGGTGCGCTTTGTCATAGGTGTTCTTCTGCTCCGCCCGCGCGCGAGCCCTGTTTCCGCGGGCGGCGTCCAGCGCCCGCGACAGTCGCTCTCTTGTGCGCGTCGCGAAATCCTCGTGCGAGGGCACCGCCCTGGCCGCGCTCTGTCGCGGGCGAAGAACCGCATCGGTCGGCGTAGAGAGTTCTCTGCCGAAGTTCAAAAGCGCCGGCGTGAACCCAGTGCTGCGGTTGAGGTTGGACCGCAATGCAAACGAAATCGAATCCAAGTGCAGATCCCAGTCCCGCTGCTTACGAGCATACGCCCCGAGCAGCGGCTTGATGTCGCGGTTCCGCCGCTCGGTCACATTTGCTTGTGGATGGTAACACGAAGTCTTACAATGCTTAATCCCGAGGGCCTGGCAGGTTGCCGCGAAGACTTTCGAGCAAAATATCGAGGCGTTGTCTCTCACCAGTCTCTCGGGGAACCCGTAGCGACACCAGACTTCGGACAGCCTGCTCAGGACTCCCTTGGCTGTCACCTTCCGCATTGGAAACATCTCGACGAATCCGGTGAAGTGGCAAGTGACTACCAACACATGTTGATAGCCTCCGCTTGACCGCGGCAGGGGTCCCATCAAGTCGCAGGCCGCGATCTCCCATGGCCGCGTACTCACGATGGGCTCGAGCAGGCCGGGTGGTCTGCCGCCCCTGGGCTTGCGCTCTTGGCACACTGCGCAGCTACGGACATAACGGCACAGCTGCCCCTTCATGCCCGGCCAGGTAGCGAAACGGCGCAGCTTATGCCACGACTTCGGTGCACTGCCGTGACCGTCCGCATCGTGGTAGTGACGCAGCGCTGCCACTCTGAGATCGCGGGGAATCACGGTCTTGAACGACTCACTTGAATCGCTCTCTTCCGGGAAGTAGCGCAGCAGGACGCCGTCCCCATCGATCAGGTAAGACTCCAGCTCACCTGCTTCAATGTCTGACTCCTGGGCGGTGGCACTTGGCCCTCTCGGTGTTCCGGAGTGCCGCAGCGTCTCTCCGCCTGTCTGGTCAGGATCCATCTCTTGCCTGAGCCGGTCGAAGATAGCGCGACAAAAAGAATCGCGCTGCTGCGCTTCGAACAGTTCCGTTCGGTTGAACGCCGGTCCCAGTGAGGTAATCGCCTCAGCCAGCTGCGCGACGCCGCCACAGTGGCGAGCGGAGCTCGAGGCGGGATTTCCCGTCTCCCGGGGGATGGCCCCGCCTCCGCAGTCTGCTGTCTCGCGCGGTGGGGGATCCACGGGTGCGCGGGAGAGCGCGTCGGCCACCACATTTGTCGTGCCCTTCCGGTACCGAATTCGGTACTCGTACTTCTGCAGTGTCAAGGCCCAGCGCGCCAGTCTTCCGGCGGGTTCCTTGATTCGGGAGAGCCACGCGAGGGCCATATGGTCCGTCTCGATCGTGAATTCCGTCCCCTCGACATAATGATCGAACTTCTTAAGAGCAAAAATGATGGCGAGGCATTCGCGCTCACTCACCGTGTAGTTCTTCTCTGCCGGGTTCAACGCCCGGCTGGCAAATGCCACCGGGCGGATCTCTCCCTCTGTCTCCTGCAAGAGTACCGCGCCGAGTCCCTGGTCGCTGGCGTCCGTCTGGATCGTGAAGGGCCTATTCAGGTCTGGCAGTTTGAGGGATGCTGTACGCGCCAAGGCCTCGGTCAGCTGGAGGAACGCCTCCTCCTGCGCCGCCTCCCAGCTCCAGGGAGCCGCTTTCCTCAGCAATTGCGTGAGGGGTGCCTGCATGGCTGCGCAGTTCGGGATGTAGGCTCGGTAGTATCCTATCATGCCGAGAAAACGGCGCACTCCCCCGACATCGGTAGGGACTGGGAACTCCAAGATCGCCCGCAACTTGTCCGCGTCGGGGGAAACTTTTCCTCTCTCGATCCGGAATCCCAACAAGCTGATCTCAGAAGCTCCAATTTGGGCTTTAGTCGGGTTAAGTGTGAGGCCGGCGATCCGCAGTTTGCGCAACACGTCCTCGAGGTGACGAAGGTGGTCCTCGAAAGTTTCCGAGTACACAATGATGTCGTCCAGGTACGCGAGCGCGTGCTGCCACTTGGCATCTCCGAGCACCCCGTCGATCAACCGCTGAAATGTCATCGGTGCACCTGTTAATCCGAACGGCATCCGAGTGAACTCGAACAAGCCTCGGTGACACACGAATGCAGTTTTGCTTTCGTCGCCCGGGCTCATCTCCACTTGGAGGTAGCCTTTGCTTGCGTCGAGGGTAGTGAAATACTTCGCCTTCCCCAGATTCGAGATGATTTCTTCGATGCTCGGAAATGGATACGCATCTTTTACGGTCACCGCGTTCAAGCGCCGATAATCGACGCAGAGTCTCGATGTTCCGTTCTTCTTGGGCACCAAAACCACCGGGAATCCCCAGGGTCCTGATGACCGGCGAATGATTCCCGACTTCAGGAGCTCATCGACTGCGGCATCTATCGCTTTTCGCTTCGCCAGGCTCACAGGACGCGGATTGGACTTCCAAGGGCGTGCGTCCCCAGTTTCAATGCGATGTTGCACCTGCTTAGTGCAGCCCGGCTGTTCGGTGAACATTTCGTCAAAGTTGTGCAGCAAAGCCGCCAACCTCTCTCGCTCTGGTCGAGACAGTCCATCGGCATTGGCCAACGGGTG